ATATATATATATATATATAAACAAACAAGTTTATACTGTATGGCCCAGGGAACTATATTCAATGTCTTATAGTAATCTATACTAAAAAAAAGTATGAAAAGGAATATATGTATATGTATGACTGAAATATTATGTTGTACACCACGAATTGAGGCAACGTTGTAAAGTGACTATACTTCAATAAAAAAGAATACGAAAAAAAAAAAACTAAAATTCCTCTGACTGTTGGGGAGTGGGGAGAGGGAGAGAGAGAGAGAGAAATCTGGGACACCACCAGCCAATCTAGGACAATCCCCCCCCAAACCCGAAACCCTCTCTTAGAGCCTTAAAGGGAAAAACATTCAAGTGCTGAGATTGTGGGGGGCCCCCATTTTCACCAGTCTCTCCTTCATTCTCCAAATTTCTCCAAGAAAAATGAATAAATTAAGACGAGTAGGCTCAAGCTCTCCCCAGGCGCTAATAAGCGGCCTGGCCCCACTCAATAGGAGGGGAAACAGCACAGACACACCCTTCCTTCCCCCTAGCATCCTGCAAACAAGTGTGCCCGGTGTGTGCCTCCACCCAGCCTCCTGTGGAAACCATTTCTCTCTCGTTTCAAAAATGGACCAGTCAAACTGACTTATAAGGATACCTGCTTTTACTCTCTCAGTGCGCACACAAGTGAGAACATTTAGGGAAAATATGGGTAGAGAAATTCAATCCAAGGGAAGGCTTATACCCACTAGAGGCCATCCCCGCACTGCCCTGCATGCTCCATCCCAGAGCCGGGCACGTGGGGAGCGCCTGAACGTGGCTAGTCCAGGGACAAGTGACATCAGAGACTTTGTGCAAAAAAGGAGAATGTAATCATTAAATTGTCTAAATTATTTCTCTTGGGTTTTTTCCCCTTTTTAATATTTTTAATATGGCTGCTAGAAAATTCTGAATTACAAATGTGGCTCACATTGTGTTTCTATTGGACAGCGCAGTTTTACACCCTTTTCTAGAGGTGATCTGCAAAATGGACCTTGAACTTCCAATGAGCCTATGCAAAGAAACAATTCTTAAATGTACAGGTTGCTCAGAAATATAACCATTCATTACAGAGAACTGGGGTAAAAGGACCTTGAGGGACCTACGGAGGAGACAGCGCGGAATGTGACAGCACACACACAGGCACAGCGGGAGCACGACAGGAGGCCGCACGGGCCCCGTCTCGCGTGGCAGTGGGCGCGGCCCAGTGGCAGAGCCCAGGGGCGCAGGCCAGGAGGGGCCTGCTGGGGCCCTGCCCGGCGCATAACTTTCAACGATTCAAAATAGTAATGCTTGACCAGCACTCAAGAGGTTGGCAGAGAAAACAGAATACACTGGAAATGCCTGGGTTCAAATAGAACCCTACTACCAGGGATATCCTCCTCGTCACTACAGCCAGGGTGCCCGAGAGGCTCTGCCACCACGGAATTCTCTGGAGCTTTAGATTAAAGGACACACGGCTGGCCCAGCAAACACTGCAAGAGGATGGGCAATTTATCTTTGGGAAAAGTCACAGAATTTGCTAAAATATCCAGATAGATACAACTTGTACATGAAACTGCAACATAAACTTTCTTAAAAGGAGGGCATTTTCCGGCCGTTAATGACTTGTAGGACTAAGTCCCCAAGACAAAGCTAAGCATTTATGTTCAATGCAGAAGGTTACTTCCTAAAGACAACACCAAACTCCAGAGGTGGAAGGAGAGGTAATTTTTGTTTGTGTATCTTCATGCTGCTTCGGACATGCTAGTTATGACTGGAAACCACAGTGGCAGACCTTACTAACCGCGCATGAAAGTAAGGCTCCCAGTGAGTCAAACCTCCCCGACTGGTTTTACCTCCGGCTTGTGCCGTCGGTGACTCAAGAGAACAGCCCAAAACCAAGAATCCCCACACATGAGCTTCCATGCTAGCTAAACACTCTGTTACTGGAATAACATGCTTTCTATTGACATGCAGCAACTTCGAAGCTGATAATATTCTGTAAGCTGGCAGAAAGTAAGCCACTGAATCAATTAGGCAAAAATCCCCTTCTGTGGACTGGGCCCGCCTGCCAGAGTTCACACCCATCGGCCCGAGGTTAGTATTCCAGTACACTCTGCCCTTGGAACCCTCTGGACTCCTGTGGGAACAGTCCCCGAGGAACCCCCAGAGCAGCACTCCGGGGGCGTCTGCCAGCTGGCATGGGAGCAGGCCTGCACTACAACCCTGAGAGGATGGATTTCGGAAAGGGCCGTTAGAGGGAGTCACCCGATTCTGGGCGCAGGAAAACGCAGACGTGAATTCCAAGACTGGAAAACATGAGGCAAGGAGTTCTCAACATTTTTCTGGTTCAGAAGCCATTTGAAAGTGAGACGAGAGTGATGTGCTCTCTTCAAGAGGAGAAAGGAGTCTCCGTTGCCCAGTGGCTAATGCACAGATCAACTCCCATTTCAGGGAACCCCATCTAAGGTTTGGGTCTCAGAAATTCCCTTTTCCAGGACAATGTCTCAAAGGTGCCTCCATCTCCAACAGGAGGCGGCTGCTGACCACCTGCTCCTGACTGACTTGTTTGCTTTTCTTAACCTGTTGGGTCAGGCAGCCATGGGTTATCTGCCAAATGCCGCTCCACCTACGAGTGGAGCAAAAGGGCAAGAATGAAGACCATAAAAGGAAGAGCTGGGACAGTCCAGGCCAAGCTGGTTTCTGCAGGGAAAGCCTCCAGGGCAGCCTGCTGCCTGCCCAGCCTCTGGCTCACCAACAAGGTCCTGTAGGTAACACAGGGAATGAAAGCAGCTTTTGAGAACTGACACTCATCTGAGGACACAGTTCCTAATAGGTGGAAAGACAGTCTACTCAGAGCCTGCCATGACAAGGAGAGATGAGGGTCATCTGGCAGGGAAACTGAAGGCGGGGGGCGGGGGCGCATCAGGATCTCAGGAGGGGGGACAGTGGAGTGACTGAGCCAGAGATGTACAGTGATCTTGAACTATGACCTCAGGCCTCGCTCCAAGAATTCCCCCCACCTCCACTCCTGCCAACAGACACTTGTGCATCCCCCCACCCCCCAACAAAAGGTGTGAAAGAGGGAAGATCACCAGACAGGGAGGAGTCAGCATACTGAGCTCCAGAACCTCTTTCACCAAGTGATGTGGGAGTCTTTCTGGATCTCAGGTATGGAAGGCAGCAGCTGAACAAGAAATGCGAGAGGTTTCAGTACCGCAATTCTAAACTCCACTGTCCACCCCCACAGGGAAGACGACTAGCTTGATAGCATGGGGAGCACAGCAAATGTGGAGAAGCAGCCTTCTGGGAACTTCAGGTACTTTTCCAGGATTTGCCTCTGCAGGTTCAGTAAGACGACACAGAGGGCACCAAGTCCAAGCTGACACCAAACGGGGGCAGGACTTACTGAAAGAGGTTACAGTCACTGGGATAAGTGCCACAGACAAGGAAAATGAATCCACTTCCCCCTTCTTTTTGGAGAGGGAATACACGGGCATTAGACTGGTCCTAAACCAGCTCTTCATATGATGCTCTTAGGGTAACTAACAGGCATGAAGAAATTAGATGTAAGTGGCTTTTTAAGAAATTATAGGGATGACTTTTCAAACCCTTGATTTTGAAGGATAATAACTGGGCATGTTGATGTGGAGAATCAACTCAAGGAAAAACAGTCAGATCTTGGATAGAAGGGAAGGTCTAAACCAACCCTCAAGCAATAAAAATGCACATTTTCCCACCATATCTCATAACTTCCCTCCCCATTCCTCAAAACACACATAAATGATGGCAATGAAATATGTTTCCAAAAGGGTCCAAGCTTCTTGGTCAGTAAAGCAATTATTTAGAAAAAGGAAAAGACCTGAATGAATGTAACCTCCCAGTCCGTTATTTTTCTGTTAAAGACTGTCAAGCATTTTATTTGAAAGACAACCTATAAAATGACTGGATTAAATGAGATTATCTACGAAAGTGCCCCGAGCAACACTGAGCTCACAAGGGGAGTTTGACGCTAGTTTGCTATGTTAGTAACCTCCCAAATGCACTGCCCTGACTGTGTATTATGTTGTGCATCCCAATGTCAACTTTTCTTTCAAATCTGGAAAACATAAAGTTTAAAATTCTATAAAAGAAAATATAGGTTCTATTTTAAATTCTAAACTGTAATCAGGTTGAAGAAATTCTGTAGTTTACATAAGGATCATGTGAGTTCATGATTATTTACCCTTATAATTTTCTCTACTTTTCCTCATGAATTGTCCCCTCCCACTCCTTTAAAGTGGTAAAATACACACAACAGGCACCACATTTTATGGCTTTATCACAGCTGTTAATCACCATTAACTCTTTGTGATCATCTTCTCACACTTTTGAGTCTATAATGGCTTCAAGGATCTATTAACCCTCTGAAAATATTTGTAGGATTTTGTGCCAGGAGAAGGATGGGTCTTTAAATAAAAACACTAAAGGCCACTAATGTGAAGGAGCAGGTACATTATTCAACTGCTCTCACCACATCCTCATGGAGCTTCTCCTAGTGTTCATACTTAATATGAAGGAAATGGACACGTCTTCACTATCCCAATTTGGGGCATTTCTACCCAAACTTCAAAAGAGACCTGGGCTGACCATGAAGCGGCCACGCTCATCAAGGTGCCCTAAGCAAGCGGAGTCAGGGTCCTGACAGGAAAGGCGGGGGCTGCCCCTCGCAGGCAGAGAGGACCTGAGGTTATGATGTTCAACATTAATATCACTTGGAATCCAGCAGGAAGTAAAACCAATGATACATGATCCTCTGATCATAAAATTAGTATACTGTTGGCTGACGTTTATATTTTCCAAAAGTTTCTAAGTAATGTTTCTAACTAGTGACATACAGCAGGCCAAGTTGTCTAGATCCATGATATCTAAATGGAGAGATTTCTTGGTCCAAAGAACTCGCTTTGTACAATTTCGGCTTGCTAATGAGGTTCTGTTCCAGAGCCTCAGGCAACAGGATTACCTGAGGATTTAGAAAACACTGACGGGAGTGTGGAGTGCAAGGGGGTGGGGAGTGGCACACGTCTTGCCACCAGTTCTAAGGGCTCCCCTGGAGACTGGAATGTGCAGCCAGGGTTTGGAGCCACTGGTTCAGACCCTGATGCCGTCAGTCCCACAGCAGAGAGGCAGGGCCTCTTTCTCTGTGGCCCTCTCTTTCCCAGGGCCAGATTTCTCAGCTGCCTGCCAGAGCTCTAAAGCAAGCATGCACTTGCCTAAGACGAGGGGGTCATTATTTCTCCATACTCTCACCAGAAAGATACATGAGCTGCCCTAGTGGAGCTCAGCCAAGGGCTGGGAACGGCTCTCAGAGGGCACAGTTCATACACTCAACAGGGACAGCTGAATTTTCCTTTCTGGAGCTGCAAGCAGAGCTTCTAGATTTGTACTGGAAACCGGACTGTGTTGAGAACGGTCTCAGGCAGTCTCCAATTTCCAACATTTCCACCAGGTTAGGAAGCACTTCACAAGTTAATACTTCTCCCTACTCCAGCTGGGGCAGTGGAGACTAGGTGATATGGCAGCTGGGGGAGAGATGATAAAAGATCTTCCAGGACGAGGTAAAAGAGTGTATTTCTGAAGTTTTCACAGGTGTATTAGGTGCAAATACTTTTTTCCTAGCCTGGTCCATCACGATTTTCTCCATAAAGTTTTACATCTCTAACACGCACACATTGTTTTAAAAGTTATCGTGTACGAGAATATGCTCACCTCTAGTTGAAACAACACCGCCAATGAGCACTTATCCCACCCCCACTGGACTTGCCCACTGCAGCTACGGTGGCAACACACACCCTCATGTCTCATTCGACAAGATTCTGGAAAAACCGCCGCCCTTCGCTATTTGATAAAGTCATGTTATATTTTTAACCCAGTGGAGTAATCAGTCGAATGAGACATGACAGCAGCCTTCATGATCTTTTTGTCCTTGTTATTCTTAGCTCAACTTCCACAACTGAGTAAGAAGTTTTTTATGTATTTACAAGAGGGTTAAAGTTTTTATTCCTTTTCAGCAGGAAAGAGTTGGCCCTTCTCATGCTTTCCACACAGAATCTTGGGTAGGCTGGCTTGGGAACGCCGCTGGGCGAAAACACTGACTTATCTTTCATCACCAAGAAGCAGCAAAACACACAGCAAGAGGGCAATGATTCACAATAAAGGAGATTGTCCAAAATTGTGAGGGCGTTAAATACAAGGATCTTTTCTTCTTTTTTTACTATGTTCATTCCTTAAGTGAGGCTTCCAAAAATTGTTATAAATACTCTATAATGGCTCTAAAACTTTTTCATAATATTCTGCTTATTAATAAAAAGTCATTAATGGAGGTCACAAACTCTTAAATCTGGTGGTTCAAAACTAATGAAGTGTTAGGTGGCATGAGTTAAAACACAGATGTAATAACAGTATTAACAAGATCAAACTACAGGTGTAAAATCTGGCGTGCGGCACTCATGTCAGTAATCCAGAATACTAATTAACATTTCAGTTCATGTAAGGTTTTAATTTCTAAGGCAAAACCTAACAGGCCAAGTGGTAAATACCAAATTATCAGAATAGATTCAAATGTACCATTAAATGTAGCATCATTCTAATAAAGCAAGATATCCTTTTCAATGACTGCATCATCTTTTTCTTCAAACTAGCAAGACCGCTGAAGGAATTTGTCATTTATTAACACGGATCTGCACAGTGGGAGAGGAGGGGTGTAGGAGAGAAGGCTACATGGAATCCAGAGATTTCCAGCCTCTTCGAAGACAACTCTGGGTTATAATCAAGGCCCAAGACAGCCCCAAGCCCACAGCAAGTACGTTCCACACCGTGGAGGGAGGTCGGCCCCCACACTCACCTTTCTCTTCTTGGCCAATCTGCTCGGATTGTCTGAGCCTTTCTTCTCAGAATCCAGTTTCTTCCCTGCAGACGGCGGTTTGTACTCCGGTTTCTTCTGGCGGCCGACCTTCCCAGGGGGCTGCGGAATCCGAGAGAGGAGGTCGAGGGTGATCTTCACCATCAAGCTTCGCGGCGGCGGAGGCTCCCTGAGCGGGGACCGCTGCCTGGGGTCTCTCACAGGCACCAGGGGCTTGTCCTTGCGGCGGTCCTCCTGCACGACCACGGCCAGGCGGCAGCCACTAGTCCTGGCGCCGGCGCCGCGGGCGGGGCCCTGGCTCTGCGTCACCGGGACGAGGGCAAAGTGCTCGGGGCTCCCGTCCTCCGCACCGTCCCTCGCGGACGCCTTCGGGGGGCCCGGGGGGCCGCTCCGGTGCTTCTTCCGCTCGCTCGGGGCGGGCACCGCCGGCTTGGGCTCGCGGCTCTCTCCGGCGCGGGGCCGCCCTTTCGTCTCACCTTGGGCTTGTCTTGGAAGGCTGGTCTTTGGCGCCGTGGGGAGGAAGTCCGGGCTCGCCCTCCACCTGCAGGCAGGCACGCGTGCCCGCCGGGGCGGAGGCCTTGCCGGCTCTTTTGGTTCCCACGGTCTGCCTCTGCGGGGGCTCCTGTTGGGCGGGGGACTTCTGGCAGCCCCTCTTGCCTGCGTGGGGGCCTTCCGACGGCGGGGGCCGGGGGGCTTTGCTGGATCTTCTGGGGGGAGGCACATTGCATTCCAAGCGCTCGAGGTCCGCG